TTTTTTTTTTTTTTTTTTTTTTTTTTTTTTTTTTTGTTGTTGTTGTTGTTGTTGTTAACCTTGTTTCCTAAAAGCAGAGGCTCTGCCAGCGGAGGGCCTGGCATCAGAGGGGTTCAGTGTCAGAGTGCCTGGAGCCCCGGATCCCCGGGGGCTCCCACCAGCTCCCTGCCACTGACTGCTGACCCTGGGCTAGGCACGGGCTGGGGACCTCACCAGGGATGCTGCCCCCCGGGACGGGAGGAAGGTCGGCAAGAGGGACCCCGCCAGCCCAAACAGGCGGTTCTGCTCACCACATACAACCCCCCTGGCTGGGAGAAAAATAAATAAACCAACCCCAAACCTGAGTTGTCATGATGTAGTCACCTGAAGTGGAACAGATTCCATGATTCTCCCTACTCTCCTCTGTTTTCTGAGTGTTTTTTGCTTGTAAAAAGTGAGACTTTGGATGTAAAAACATGAAAAGACTGTAATAAATAGTTCTAAGGAAAAAATAGGATTATCCTGAACTCTTGTAACATATATTCTTTAGTAAGGCTTTATCATTTCTTCCCTGATTAAGACTAATTTTCAGTGGAGCGACTGTAAAATGAAACAGCAAAATATCTCTTGGGATAACTCAACTTACTGGATTTTACCCGCAAGTGCTTGACTTTCGAAGGCATGATAAGTAGCTGATTCTACATATGTGGGGGGTTTATTCTGTATGTGCTTTTTTGGATATTTTTCCCCCCTCCTATAACTTCTGATGAATCCTGTTTGAATCCAGACTGCCTGTTCCTTTTGCCACAGATTTTTCACTTTCAGCATGTTATAAAAACACAGTTATCGCTGAGGGCATGGAGAATCCTACGGAAAACCCCACGTGTCACCCAGTACCAAGGCATTTATACTGAATTTGGCGAGCGTCCCCTTTTTTGGGGTGTCAGCATGGCGAAGCCTGAAGGAAGCCACACGGGTGGACGGTTTGGGGAACGGTGCTGGGACCCACCTCCCCAATGGTCCGGGTGCCTTCCTCTGCAGCCTGGGGAGCGCTGTGGGCAGCCTTCGCTCTTCTGCTCCCACACGGTTCACCCTCCCCGTGGGGGACCCAGGTTGTGTTCAACCAGCTAGACATGCCTGACAGACGTGGAAAGGAATTGGAGTAACAAAAGCGTCTTTGTCTTAGCTGAGGCCCATCTCCAGTGTAGATGCGCTCACTGAGATCAGGCCTTGGGCAATATTTCTAGCCGGCAGGGTGGCAGTGATCTTTCCAGGTGGGAGTTCAGAATAAACCAGTGTTTGTTGTTTCCTAAATTGGTAACAGCCTGAAACAATTTGCTGTCAGGGAGTGACAATCAGAGGAGCAATCTAAAGACAAACCATACTCAAAAGGTAAGCCTTAATTTCTTTATTGCTTATGCTTGCATGGAAAATATACCGGGAGATGAAGCCTGACGATGCCAATGTGGTGGGTAAAATGTGTAGAGAAGGAAGGAGAAGTGAGGGGAAAAAAAAGAGAAACAAAGAGTAGGCAGAAAAAAAATGTCTGGAATAATGGGCAGCCTGATCTGAAAGCACATTCTTCAACTGCATTTCTGTCCATTCCCCAGGGCAATGGTAAGGCACTAAAGAAAGAAGAGACACAAGTCCCGTTACCTTTTATATCCTCTGTGGTACGGGTTTGATACCCTCCACCCACGGCGCTGCAGGGCTCGGGCCGAGGACGTTTGGCCGGATCCCTGGAAGGACACGGATGCGCCTCCCGGTCCTGCTTAGCCCAAATGTCCTGCTGACTCTGCTGCCCCGCGCTCCCTCCCCTGGCAAACAAATACAAACTCTTGGATGCAGTATAGAGGCAGAAAATTTGCTGCGGTTCTCTGCGGGCGCTTAGGAAGCGTGTCCGGAGCATTGCACATTCGCTTCAATTACCTTGAACGCTGGGATTTGTTTTGTGGTGGCCCACAGATGTGTCCCCTGCTCGGGTGGGCACCCAAGTCCTCCTGGGGGTTAAGCTTTCCTCTGTTAAACTGCCCACTTGCTTTTGAAACTGAGTTATTACCGGTCTGGAATTCACTGGTCAGTGAATTTGAAGTTTTAAACTTTTAATTAATAGAGGTATTTATTATATTATATTTTTAGAACTGTGTCACGGGATCTAATTATTTCGGAAGACCTGGGCCATGAAGATCAAGAAGAAATCAACCTGACATGCCAGAAATTATGGGGAGAAACCTGCAAGTTTATCGTTGTTTTCACAAGCTTTCTAGAACATTTTCAAACTGGGTTTACAGCACTGATAACATTCGCTTCTACCGGAGATCTCTGACTAGAAGAAATGTCTCAGTACATTAAGAAATATCAAGGCAAAAAATCAACTATGAGGTAGCAGAGCACCTTGACACATCAATTTAAGGGGGTAATTTCATTTCTTACATCAAGGCAGACTTTGTCTTCTTCCAAGCAAGTAACTTCTCTTTGTCTTATGCACTTAAATACAGCATCTGTGAATTCCTATCAGTCATAAATATTCCTCATTTGAACACACGGTGTTTGTAATTTGGAATGTCTTGTGTATGTTGCTGCTTTGTTGCTTCTCAGGAAACTGATAAATAGCTGAATACTTTTTGTTCCCTCTTGTTATCACACTGAGTGATTTTATTTTAAATTAAGGAGAAAAACACAGAAGAAGAATCATTAAAAAAAAAAAGGGCTGTTGAAGATGCAGCTTGACTCTTTTAAAATAGATGGCAGCTATTCTAAGCACAAAGCATCTCAGGAATTCTGAGACTTTTGCAGATAATGTAAACAAAACAGCAAAAGCTTTGAAGTTTCATATAATCACACGACGCGCTCAGGACTTTCAGAATTCAGTTACATTTATTTGATGGACTACTGCTGCGTAGGAGTCAGAGAATGTATTCAAAATGTGATGATAACGTGGCCTAAGCCTCACGGCTGCCTTTTAAAGAAGGAATCATTTGCTGTTGATACACTTAACACCCTTTCACTGCTCTG